CTCAACTAATTTCTGCAATTCTCCAGCTGTGATCCATGGAGAGTCTTTTGTCACTCAAACTCTCCTCCTCACTGTGCATTATGACAATAATATAGACACATGTCCTCAGATTTGTAAAATCTTTAGTTGATTGGAACCTCTTAATTATTGCGCTGATGGTGGAAATGGGGATTTTTGATGCTTTAGCTCTTTTTTAACAGCCATTTTCTATTTTATGAAGCGCAACAATCTTGTTCTGCACATCAGAACTATATTCTTTGGTTTCACTCCTTGTGATGGATTATTAAGGGAATTTGGCCTTTGTATTCCTCATATTTATAATCATGTGGAACAGGAAGTCATGGCTGGACAATTTCATGCTCCTAGTCACTCTGGTGTGCTAAATTTTTTTTTAATATGAATGAGAATATACTTCAGAGATATTTTACTCATAAGAATTTCTAGGGGTGCCAGTAATTGTTGCCAACATGCACTGGAGAAAAACATTTATTTTATATAAGTCCGGAGCGGACTCATCGAAAAATACATTGGCATCATCTGTATTAAACAGAAAATAATCACTTCATCCGTTGTTTAAGTGAATAAAATAGCCTTGACAGCCGAGTTTTACTACTTACAAAGTTATTTAAAGTATAAAACATTGGTATTTACAATACACAGCGTGTTTTTAATCATATTTTTAGGGGGGACAACCCTCAGATAGGGGGGTCCTGTCGTCCCCCCCCCCTCCCCCCCCGGGATTTCCGCCTATGACTGTATATACATACAGCCTAGCAATTTGCATGTGAACAGCGTACAGTGACACTATAACATTAAAAATGTCTATTTAAAATGGTTTGCTTACCTCTAATAGTATACATGTGTCATTTTCATGTGTTATCTCGCTGTCATTATAGTGATGCCAGCAGCCAATGATGTGTGAATATGGCTCAACAACTGTTTCCAGAAGACAGATGGTATATGCCACACAGGTGACCACCTGCATTCCCAAACAAGCCTTGAGCTGTTGAGAAATAAAACGACAAACACACACTCAGGAATGCTTATTTCTAAGTGCCTCTTCAGTGATACATTCAGAGTGGGAACTCAGAAATTCACTGGATAGGCTACATTCTGCATATAGTGCATAACTATCATGCATTGTACATATTTTTAATAATATTTCATAATTTTTGCTGTGTCCAGATTAGGGATGGAACGATTCCCGGTTTGACAATAAACCATGATAAAATTCCCCACAGTAAGTAGTCTGGGCTCTTAAAAACTTACTGTTGGCAGGTGAAGTTTCTGCGCTGCTATGGCCACACTGCCAGAAATAATGCCCTGTTTAAAGGAAACATAGTGGTAAGTCATATTGAAGGATATTCTTGTAGACCTCTACACAAATGCCAAATAAAAAAATCTGAAATGCTGTAACATTTATACTATCAGAAATTCTACCTTTAAATATAAAATTAATAAAAACTACATTATTACATATTTTTACTACATTTTTACATTATTATTACATACAAATTACATTAAATATTTCAATTATATCTATATATATTAGGGGTGCAACGGTTCAACTTACTCAAGGTTCGGTTTGTATCACGGCAACAGCACGAATAAATAAAATAGCGCAAAGATACCAATAAAATAAACAGTGCTTTTCAGGTTTTTTAGGTATAGGTCTAACATTAGTTTTTAGGTACAGAAATTGAATAATGTAATCAAATGTAAAATAACATTGCATATTTGACTGTATAAATTAAAGATTAATCCTTATTAAAGTTACAGAAGTTATTCAATCAAGAGCAGTGAGTGATTTCCGTGTTGTTGCTGTTTGGTCAACATTAAGAAAGTGCTGTCACTTTAAGAGAACGCACTAATCCAGTGCACTGATACTGTATATTCAGCCGGCTATGTCTGCTAGGATACTCACCAAGACGGGCATTTTGACATAATTTTTGTGTGAATTTGTCCATTCAAGCACAATACTTCAAAGAGAGTTTAATATTTGCGCGCCTTCTGAGACTCGGGTTCACACTCTTCGGATGAGCGACCACACAGATCTTCTAACTGCGTGCGCGCGAGTTCGCGTCTTCTGGCTCTTTAATATTTACACTGGCAAGGCAAGACCGAAACATGCATTATCCGAACTCTAACAAACCATATTACAGATGCATTGTCAGATTTAAGTTGAACCGCGGTCCTAGTGCATACCGAACCGTGTGTGGAGAACGGTACGGTTCGATTTTTTACCAAGAACCGTTGCAACCCTAGCGAGAAGGATGCGTTTCATACAAGATCTGGCAACTGGGCAACCTTGCAATTTGTTGACGTGATTATTCATATAATGAGGTTTGGGCCATACAAATTACAGGAGTTTTACCGTAGGCGAATGTAGCAAACATATAAAATACGCCCAGTGGGATTTTTTTATAGAAAGATTAAAAATTCGTGAAAATATTTAAACGACTTGAAAAAAGTAATCTGATTACGTAACTCGCATTACTTGTAATGCGTTACCCCCAACACTGCTTACATGTAAATTCGATTCTCTCAAGACGTACATCATTATTAAAATCAAAAACATATTTTAGGGGGTATTTTTCTTTTGATCTATGTTGCTGTCACGAATTCGGTCCATGGACTTCCGTTTATTCACCACCAGAGGTCACCCTTTCCATTACATTGACTCTCGCACAACACAAACTGTTGCATAGCACCCCGGACTACATATCCCATCATTCTTTGCACGATTTGCACACTGCACTGATTGCACTCATTGCACACAGCTGTTTCTAATCACCTCACTCACTATATAACACCCACTCTAACCACCTTTCTCGGCTGAGTATTGTTTAGCCCGTACCCCATTCCGAGTCTCTGTGTTTTCCTTGTTTTGCCTTGCCTTGCCTGTTTCCGCGGTTTCTGATCTTTGCCTGTTTTCCTGGATTTTTCCCTCTCGTCTCGCCCCTGTGATTCTGTCTGCCGATCGGTGACCTACGCTAGCCCTGGGACTATTCTTGTGTTTTGCCCGCTATATACCTGTTTGCCATTGTTTGACCCTGCCTGTTTACCACGTCTCTTTAATAAAGCTTGCAGATGGATCCACACGTCTCGTCAGCCCCGTTACAGTTGCATATTTGTCTGTTTTATTTATTTATAAGAAAGTTATTAACCAAAATATAAACTTTGCTAACTTTTATTCTACACTAAGTAAATAAATGAGGCACGTAAATAGATAAGTAAATAAATGCTAGCAAATGGTATTTTAATTTAAAATCAAAATTAATTTCATAACATATGACAACGTCATTTTTAACTTATAAGCATGCGCGGCGATTTGTAACTTGCAAAATAAGGTTGATAATGGCTGCATGTGTAACATCACTGTACAGATGACCTTTATCAATCCCACTGTCACACAATGTGGCTTCTAGCAACAAGCATATTTAAATAAGCAATTCTTCATAACAATAGGCCTAAATAGGATTATAAATGGCTTAAAAGTTAGTTTACGTACTAATACATTTCACTTATATTTATTGATAGGTGAAATCAATAAAAATGATCTTCTATAATCCCTTGCTTTTCTGCTTTTGCTAGCTTTCCATGCAACACACTGACAAAAATAGAGCTTGTGTTTTTCTTATATCAGGAGCACTCGTTCCACAGAACTCATGTGAACTCGCCCTTACGAAAAAGAAGTTTATTTAAGTGTGCTATTAGTATACTTTTAAACTAAAAATAGGAAAGTATTCTTTTAGTCTACTTTTTATGTACTTCTCAGAAATGGGCTTTATGTACTTCTCAGAAATATACTTAAAATGACATTTAAGTATACTTGACTTATACTTAGAAAAAGTCTAAATATATTTGAGCTATACTTGTGTTCCTAGAATCCGTATTTTCATTGTTATAAAAAAAACACAAGTGAAGAAGAAACCGAAACAACAGATGCTTCCACATGTATTCTAACACGATCATCAGACATAAAACAGCATCAAAACTGTGTAACTTTATGGAATAAAATGTCGACCAATGAAGAAGTAATAATAACTGTCAATCTTTGGGGTGTTGATCGACTCCATCTGTTTTGATTATCATTCTGAATCCAATTCATAGTCTTTTTTCAGCTTTTTGTTCAAAATGTTGTTTATTTCTTTATTTTTTATTTATGAAACTTATCCACATTCAAGTGTTTAAAAAAAGAATGGATGAAGCTAGAATAAAATGTTTTTGTTTACAATCAGATACCCTGTTCTTTTGATGTTTTTTATGTTCAGATATTCATGTAACAAAATATATACAAATTAATATCTAAATAGGGACATAGTAGTATACTTAAACTATGATGTAAAGTTCGCTTAAAGAAAACTTACGAGTATACTTGCAGTATAAAACTACTAAACTAGTAGTTTACTGAGACTATACTTCAAAGTTTACTAAAAATGCTACTACAAGTATTTAATTAGTAAACTATCAGTATACCTATAAGTTCACTTTTAGTATAGTTGCAGTGTAAAACATTTTGATGTAAACTAGTTGTATACTCAAAGTTTACTACTGTTATACTTAAAGTATACTTAAAAGTATACTTTTATATACTAGAAAGTGGGCCAATTTAGTCCCAAGGAGTATTGAAATAGTACACTTACAAGTATACTACTAGTACACTGATATTTGTATACTTACTACATAAAGTATACTTAAAAATATACTTGAACTTTACTTAAGTATACTTACTAAAACTTGGTATACTACTTTTTGGTAAGTGCGGTCATGCGAACAAAAAAACTCAAATTTTCGTTGGTTCCACTTATACACTTATACAGGTAATCCACATGAATTTATTTAATGCAAGTGAACTGCTTTTCACATAACAAAACAACACTGTGCAAGGTGAGAAAGACAACAGAACCAAATTTAAACGTGTCCCCATGATAATGCCTTGTTTACTATATTTTCTATTTAATGCTGCATATTAAATATAAAATAATCGTAATCACTGATTTTTGAACAAATTATTTTTTTATTTGTAACCAAAATTACACATTACGCCCAATATTCAGTGCATAAATGCAGCTTCAGATCACAATACAGTATAGTAAAGCTCTTCAGGTTAAAAAAAAAAAAAAACAGGAAAAAAACATGCACAACAGAATGAATACTAGAACTTGTGATGGCAACTTCAACTTGTGTTAGGATGTGGCATACTGTCCCTGCATAGTAAACATTGTTTGGACAGATCCTAGGCCATCCATGTTCATCAGTATACATAAGTAACATTCACTTAAGACATACATAACAGCATTAAGATTCCTGTAAACTGGAATTGCTGGTATTCTCATAAATCACGACTTGTAGGCCTCTATAGTGACTGGTACCCATCACTCCTCCGTTTCCTGCTGATGAGGTAAGCCATGACTACAATGACGATGAGTATGATGAGGATTATGCCCACGACGATGGCAACGCGGTAGTCATGTTGATCAGCCTTGCATACTTCAGCTGTTGTACAAACACAAACAGAGCACAATGAACTTGTATGCAAATGAAGTCAGTATTGTAGTTGAAAAAATTTAAAGCTGGTATACACTACACGACTTTTCAAATCTGAACAGATTTTAAAACAATAGGCATCATATGCTTACTGACTTTGTAAATGCTTATAGAGGAAAAAATGGCCATCATGCACTAAACAACCGAGGACTTACAAGTCGTTCTGAACACAACAAACTCACGCAGAAACGTGCGTCAATGCTTGGAGATACATGACAAATGAAAACAATATCCCTGTGTCTGAATATGCCCACTTCCATACAATATAGTAGGTGAAAAACAGTATGTGAGCCGAGTAGTATTTTCAAATTCACAGTATTCATAAAACAGTATGCAAAAAGTACATTGATGACCTACTACTTCTGGTGAGATTCTGAGAAGTGCATCTGATGGACACTTTACTAGCGCATTAGGCCACGGAAGTGGATTTGTGAATGGCAGTGTTGCAATGCAAATGACAATGTAATAGGACACATGACTGCGACAACATGGCGGATGTAATTTGTCTAAATGGTCACAAAGCAAGTTCTAAACCGAATGTAGTATCTATTATACACTATTCAATTTTGGACACAGCGTATGTGTTCTAAAATTAGCTCAAAATATGAAACATGTTTGATATCCTCCGAACTGGATGGAATTGTAAGCATGTGCCATCATAAACTGCATGTATTTCTGTGAAATCTGTCCAAATCCCACATACTGGCCGTGACTTTCGGCAGCTAGCATTGATTCGTCCAGACTGCAAAATGGGGCAAAAGTCGTGCAGTGTATTCCAACCTTAAATTGCAATGATTGAATAGATACACAACAGATATACATAACACTTATATGCAGGTGGTCAGTAACAACTGCTCATTTTCAGTTGTGTTGTAGGTAATATTTTAATTTGCATGACATTTAAAGCTAACAAATCATGTCAAATAATAATAAAAAAACTAATATGAGTTACATGAAAAAGTAGCAGACTTTCATTTAAAAAAAGCATGCAGGAAATAAGATCCACATTAGTAAAAAAATATGTTAGATGGCCTTTGGACTTTATGACAGGCAAGACATCATCTTAGTTTAGAGTCATCTGGCTGGTCTAACCAGCTCTTTTGCATTGCCATTACACTTTTGCTACAATATTTGTAAACAAGCTTTATGAAGTATGTAGGACATAAGGTATACAGTCAGGGGCGTGTCTATGTGGTGGCCAGGGGTGGCACCGGCCCCCCCTGAAATTTGGCTGGCCCCCCCTACCAGATGTGTTGCCATAGGCTTGTTTTTAGTAAATTTCTAATTTTAGGCGGTTTCTATAGTGTGATCTTAATGACAATGTCGAGAGCGCATAATGTTACACGATCCATGTTCGCGAGGACGAATCTCTCCACTCCCAAGCGGATTTCCTTCACTCACACAAAACTGGACGTGTGCTTTTAACATACATCGTTCCGCAAACACAACCCCCCACGGCCACCCTCTTTTGAGCCAGTGCCCCCGACTGGCCCCCCCATTTAAAATGCTCTAGACACGCCCCTGTATACAGTGCATAAAAAGGCAAGGAGTCATAACTTGATGTAGCTTGTAACATAAAGTAGAGTTTACTTTAAGAATAACTGTCATCCACTACAAGGATGGGGTGCTTGAAGATACTGAAGCATCATCACGCTATACTTACGTGGTCCGAATTCATTGTTTTTGAAGTCGAAGGCCTGAAACTTGTTATGGGTCAAGTCCAGACTAACACCATCTCCCATGTACACCGTCTCAGCCTGGCAGGAGTAAGAGTGACCCGGTTCCACAGAAAACAGCTCAAGAGAATCGTTCTTCCCTGAGTAATCATTTGACTCTTTGTTGAGAACAATAAAAATAATTGGATCAGTGTTGGCATGGATGTGCACAAAATGATTAAAACATTAACCAAGTCTCTCCCTTTTCTTAATCCCATAATTGTGATAATAATAGTCAAAATTATAACCAAACACTTCCACTACGACTCAGTCTTTCTGCAAGGTCAAAGAATTTGTCATTTTTGAATTCAAAATGAAGTGAGGGAAAGACGTTTTATTACTGTAACCAAAATGACACTTATACTTCCTTATTCTTCCTCGGCACAATGTGACATTTATTGTTGCCAAACTGGTTGACCCACATGGCCTAGTGTTTAGGCTTGACAATTTATATCTTTTTGAAAGGATTTTCCGTCTGTCCTAAGAATTCTGTCTTCAGTAGATTATTCTTTATTTAGATACACTCTTTATTTAACTATACAGATAAAAAAAGCTTTGGGAATAAATTGAAGAAAATTGAGGATGTGTGTTGTTGTAGGTGTTTTACAAGGCAAATGGTACTAGTCATATACGGCAGGAAATTTACCTCCTGTTTTGAAGGCATAGGTCAAGTCGTAATCCATATACTCCACATAGAACTTTTTTATCGTCTCATTCTGGAAAGTCAGAAGAAAAGATTATTAGAATGTAAACTGAAATACACAAACACGATAGAATAAGAACCATAATGTATTCCAAAACCATCGCATACATTACAAAACAAATACATGTTTGAAAACCAGAACAAATTAACATACAAATATGTCTGCTACACATTGACAAAAATAGCCTTAATATTGTATACAACAACATAATCAATAAACCTGACCCTTAATGAGTAACAAGTATTATCTATAGAACTGCAGCATACTGATATGATGTTGGTCACCTTACCACAGTCAGACTGATGAGAACACCTGGCACCTCCCTGTAGGATTTATTTGATAAAATGCTGCTGGGAGGTAGCTCAGGTTTCTATCAGACATAAGTTAACAAGTCTCCTCCTCAAGTGCCTCAAAGTTCCTGTTTTTTAAACCACACAAACTCAGGTTGTACTGAAAGACACGTGAACTTTTTTGCCAAAAAAGATAACTGGCTAATTTGACTGCAAAACTCTTGAAAATCTTCTAGATAAAAAAAAGGTTGTGTTATGACATCTTTTGTTGCCAGTTAGCACATTTGAAGCATGTCATTTTAAGTAATGAACATTTTGAAAATCCATAAACAGACTTACATTTCTAAATTTCAGGGTAAATTGGCCTTCACTGAATATTATTCTGATAGTAGAGGCTTTGTCCCCACATTCTCCACTGACAGTGGTTTTGTTTTGCTGAACAATGAATGTGCCATTAACCTAGAAAGACAGAAATGTTTCAGAATAAAGGATATGTATATGTAATATGAAAAAATAATGCAGTAGGCAGTGTGAAGGATTCAAGTTGCTTACATATAAGCAGGAATCATATATGGATGTAGATCTGTCACTCCCAACAGAAAACATCTTACCTTGCTGGTGTTCACACGGATCCCAATTGCCATTTCAACCATAATACATACTTTGCCATCTTTACTAAAATTATAATGGCCCACCGCCATGTTGGTGGGTGGTGTTGGAGATGGTATTGGAGTGGTAACTGTGGTTTTTGGCCTGGAGGTTGTTGTATTCGGATTGTGGGTTGTTGTGTTGGGGCTGGGGGTTGTTGTATTCGGACTGTGGGTTGTTGTTTTTGGATTGTGGGTTGTTGTGTCCAAGCCAACGGCCATATAAGCTGAACTATATTCACCTGAGGTGAGAGTTGAGAAGGAGGCAGACAGAGAATATGAGAACATTTTTCCCCAAATGTGAGCTAAATCTGACAAAACCTTAAGTGACATCCTCAATTAGAACAATTTTTCATATTAAAAACAAAACAAAACAATAATTACCTTTATAAAAATCATTTAGCTAGGTAAAAAAAAAATTGTGAGGAAAAAAGAAAAATAGACACTATACACAGAGCCTCCATCTGTTCTGCACATGGAGTGCTATTTACATACATTCACTTCCTCTCTAGCGCGCGCGGTCAGAAGTGTACACACGTCGAAATTTCCCAACAGGGAAATGTGATACTTCACTTCAGCCGATTTCACGTGATGTCTGATCGTTAGATTAGCCGCAGAAAAGAAATGTAAGTGCCGACAATGTGACTGAAACTCTCTTTGTTTTGTTTTTTTGTTTTTTTGTTGACAACAAGGTACGCTTGTGTAGCTTCAGTGTAGATTGTGTCCGTTTTAGATAGGCTATTAAGAGAAGTACGAGAAAATATACAAAAAATAAAAAAATACAATAGTGTTGAAAGATTACTGAATTACACTGAACTGTGAGGAACGATTATAATTAAGTATTGTACTGTGTCCAAAAAGGTGCAATAAAACTGAGTGATTTTTGCAATAAGGAAGTGGTTGTGGACCTAGGCCTATATATAACTGAAACGTAAAATCGAATTGATATTTAAAATTTGACCTTAGGTTTTGTTTTACTTGCGTTGTTTTACCAGCGTATGGCCTTAGCTATTCAATTCTAACATAGAATCGAAACTACGGTGTTTTGCGAAAAGTATGCCAAATTAAAAAATATATCTTTCCTGTCTTTTTAAATTAAAATCGTTCTCGTGAGTAAAACCTGGGGTCAGATTTTAGCTTACAGTTATATGTTGGAACACAACTAGCCTACTTCCTTATTGCTGAAAAAAAGTTTTTTTTATTGGTTTGCAACTTTTTTGGCCATAGTGCAATAATGGAGTATTCTGTCAAGTTCCTTACAGTACAATGCAATTCAATCTTTCAATATTATGGTGTGTCAAAGTACATAACTACCACAGTATTTAACTAATGGTGAACACACGGTAACTGCATATTTCAAATCGAGTAATGCAATGAAATAATCTGCTTTACCTGTTGCAGTAATGCAAAGCGTGATCAATAATAATCCGTATTTCATTTTCGCCCTTATTGCGATGTACTTGACACAAAAACTCGCTGGATTGTGTGCTCTATCTGGCGTAGAAAGCCTGTCGCTCACTGCACTTACTCGCCTGAAACGAAACCACTGATAAAGTGAAGGAAGTCAATCTTTCAACACTCGCTTTGAGTGTTTGTCCAATCACAACTAGTGAGGCATTCAGCGTCCCAGAAACTCAATACAGTGACCGAGTTAGATTTGTAGAAAGCGAAAATTAACAGATGTTAGAATTTTGTCACTGTTGTATCTATATTTCTTGTTGGAACATTTAGGCTAGAAGAACTGCTTTTATGAGATATTTTTATCGTGGCAATAATCTTTGAAACAGATATGCATTGATAATCTTGTTTACAAGTTTTCATACTTAGATTCGTTGTTTCATTATATCGCTATCCCATCATTAAAACGTTTACATATCATGCACTTAAGAAAAATATGATTGATAGACATTCCCATGAAATATAACTATGAATAAAAGCGGTTTTATTGTACATCAAGTCAAGTCAAGTCTGCTTTATTGTCAATTCTTCCACATGTACAGCACATACACACAGAGAATTGAAATTGCGTTACTCTCAGACCCTTGGTGCATACAGATAACACTAACAGTAGAACATAAATACAGATAGATACAGATTTAAATATAAAATACAACTATACAATTATACAAATAAGGTAAAATGTAAAAAAATATATAAAGCAGCACAAGGTGCATGGCAGATAGAGTGCAAACCAGTGAAGTAAACAAACAGTGCAGATATAATGATTGTAGTGCAAAAGAGCTTATTCAGACTGATTAAAGTGTTTTGGAAAGTCTATTTTTTGGTGTATTTTTGGGAACACACTCTTTAAGTCTGCGTGGTTGAAGTCACCAGCCAAATGAGAAAAGCATCAGGGTGAGCTGTCTGCTGCTCACTGATGTGCTGGTACAGTTCATTTGGAAGGGCTACTTAAACTGGGCCGCCATGTTGAGATCAAATCTTTAGGCTATCTCATTTTACTGGATATTTTTGTTTTGCAGAATAAATAAATCATGGCTGACAGCAAATAGCATCTTCTACAATGTCAGAAGATTGCATTATATTTCTAGGTGTCATATAAGTCTACGACAAGTCATATCAGCCAGTGCAAAGCCTTAACAAAACAAAAAACCTTAACAAAAAAATGGGTCATGTGCTGATTCACACCTCTCTTAGTCATACATACTTTACTATAAATAAAGACAGAAAGCCCTAAAATAAATAAATACAAAAGAAAACAACAACAAATGGCATCAGTTCATTTTTATTTGCCTTGGTAATGCAAGTGCAGTTGCTAAAAACTCTTTACAAATTAATCTAAGCAGGAAGTTGTTGTTATTTTGCTCATCTATCATGTGACAAATGCGGGAAGTGAAAATTTGACTCACCAGTCAGTTACAGAAGGACAATCTGTTTAAGCATGTCTCAATACACACCCAACTGTCAAAGTTCTCACACATGCGATTAGATCTTTTACTCTAAATATAGGCCTACATATATCTGAAGTCAAGGAAAATACATTGAAATCATGTAACATGACAACACATGCTTGCTGAGATTTGTTTTATCATAACCTCTGGATCACATGACTCCCAGGGTAAGGTGGGGAAGTTCTGGTAATTTCATAGTATGTGGAAAAACAAGCACTAGAAATGCTGATCGTAATGCGTTGCATTTCTCATCTTAGACTTGAAGATAGAAGTCACATACTTTCGCATTTCCAGTGTACAAATGATCTCTTGAATCCTTCAAGACAAAGTGAATGTAAGAGATCTTAAAGCCCTTTATTTCCATTCTGACCGAATTCCTATATTATACAGTACACATCCAGTGCTCTTCCTATCAGTTCTTGTTTGTTTCTTCATCTTCCTCATCTTCACTACTGCTGGATTCCCCAAACAAGTCTTTTCCACAAGCAGTGCTGGATTTTGTGTGTGCATCTTGTTGGCTGACCGTCATGGAGATTAGAGTAGACATGTCACTAAAGCCCAAAAGCAGTGTGCTGTTGTCAGGTCCATGCAGAGAGATGGTCTGGATCTTGGAGTCAGGTGTGAAGACAGACAACATCGTACCATTGTCCAGGTCCCACATGCTCACTGCTTCTGTTCAACAAATAATTCAAAGGATTGAACGATGCATCCCGTATAAATGTTTATCTCATTTTAGTATCTCAGACCCGAACACAAAAAATGATTAATCTTACCGTGAAGGTGCAAAGACCCTATTCTAAGACATCACCTCCACATCCCATGCTAAACTTTAAAGATGACCAAAGTCTGAATCTTAATCTTGACCTAGATTAAACTGATATCATCTAGAACAAGTCAACACAAGTATGAGCAAGGGTCTGCTGTACCTGATAATAAAATAGCCTTGGATTGTCCTTCAGTGATAAAGAGCAAGCTGGACCAGTTAAGATTTAAACTTCCGTAGCCAGAGATGGTTTTATGTTTCCTTCGGAACGGCTCCCATACTTTTAACCTGAGTTTCAGGAAAAAAAAGTTTTTTTTTTTAAAAGAATGTTTTAAGATAAATGCAACAATAACCCATGTTCTTAAGAGCTACATGTATATAAAAATTGAAATATACATACATATCTATGTACACTACTGGTCAAAAGTTTGGGATGATTAAGATTTGACGCGTTGTCATTTTAAAATATATTAAAATAGAAAACAGTTCTTTAAATTGAAATAATATTTCACAATATTACAGTTTTACTGTATTTGTGATCAATTAAAACCAGCCTTGGTGAACTTTTGATGACTTTTTTTAAAACATTAAACATTAAAATAACTATTATATTATTTTTTATTAATAATTCCAAACTTTTGACCTATAGTGTATATTAAAAAAGCTATGATATAAGTGAACAGGTTTTGAACATTGCAACTGGGGTGGCACATACTTGTTGAATCCTGCAATGCCGAAAACCACTCTGCAGGCATCGTTGCTTATTGCAATGCAACAGATTCCAGGTTCATTTTTCAATCTCTTTCGCACCTTTACATATATAAGGAACATTCATCTTACAGAATATACAGAGAAGATGGATTAAGATGAATTATCTTAAAATAAATACTTATTAAATGTAAAGATTTAACTGTTAGGCCTGAAGTGAGCAATGTGCCCACTTCTTTTTGATTAATAATAACATGACTGAAAAAAATGTTAGCCATTTTTAAACAGATTTGCATACTCTGCCCTGCTGCGTGTCCCAAACGGTGAGGTATGGAGCATGCTGGGCCTCACTGTAGTTGGAGACCACCAAGTACCCTCCAGTGTGAGTGATCGCGGCAGTACGGAGGCTCAAATGGGACCAGCGGTCCTCCAGGGTGTGCAGATGCTCCTCAGAAACCACACTGAAGACGTTGAGATGATGGGCAAAATATGAGCATATGACCACCTAAGTGATACACAGAGAAAAGTGAGAGAGATTCAAAGATGGAATCGATGCATTTCAGTTCAGTTCACAACCATGTAGATCACATATGGTTTATTATTTCATAATTCAGGAAAGAGTAGTGGTTTTGTTTATTGGTCAAATGTCTTTCTACCCGCTCATCACCGCTGAGAAGATACTGGTCTACAGAGTTGAATTTCTCTTTTTCGAGGCGCTGCTGTTCATCCTTTTCTCTCTTCACCTCACGGTCCTGTCGCCTCCTTTTTGCCGTCTGGGTTTCGGTGCGCCTGTCCCATGGCATTACTAGACCTGTGAAACAAGTTTAGATTTAGGATAGTTTTTTTTTTTAATGTTGAATATGGTATGAAAATCTACATGGGACTGAGACGTTGTATAAATGCAATGGTAAAGTCAAGTATCATTTACATTTTAATACCTGTCTTTTCTTTTGAGGACATAATTTGGGAATCTCTGTCCATGCTGAAGAGTAGGGTTTCTTTGTAGGACGTCTTGATACGTCCTTTAATGTAGCCAGAGTCCAGATCCCACAATATCAGATGATCCCTACATGCCATATCCATGCAACCTCATGAAAATTACTCAAATCTAGACTAAGCAATATAGTCATTTTCTGTTTCTGCTGAATGAGGAAGTGAGCTCTTACCGTGTTTCTGAAAGACCCAGCAGTATTTCACCATCTAAGAGCCGATAGTCTTGTCGAGGACAGGGCACGATGAACAGTCCAGTCTGTTTCTTAATGTAGCTCTTTTTAAGAAGGTCATACACCAGCAATGTCTACAGAAAAAAAGTGCAACAGGAAACAGTTTGCAGGGCAGTAAAATGTCATATATAACTCTTAAGTACAAAACAAATGTTTGCAGGTCATAACTTAAATCTTTCCTTCTATGTTGTTCTTTTTAACTAAAATTATTAAAAATTGGTTTTGTTAAATGGCATAAAGTGTAATTAATAGATGAGTAAAAACTTTTTTTAGGTTTATGTAATAAAAGTACTAAAACTGAAATAAAAATAATGCCAAATTGAAATATTAAAAAAAATAAGAACAATAAAAACTAAAATATATAAAAATAAAAGCTAATCCAAAATATTAACAAATACTATATGTTATTAAAATAACACTGCTTTCCTCATTTTTGTTTATTTGTCCCCTTTTTATGTATTTATTTATTTACATTTTACTGATTTGATTGATTTACTGAAAAATGACACTGATCAATAATAGCTAATGATCTATTTTAGTGTTAACTGTATTTGAACAACACAATGGTCCTTCATCCTTGTGAAGAGGCATCTCATGAGTCACCAAAAAAGTGAGCGGAAGCCTTCTGTTTTAATTAATTGGAGACATTGCTGAAGATGGACTTGATGCAAGTGTGAGCATGGTTGATAAGCATAAACAACTATACTCAAATGTCAAACAACTATACAATCAGCTTCAGTTTCAGGTGACAGATCTCAGGACAGGGGTTTCAGACCAGCATAAATATGGGTCCCGTATAATACCTATAGTCACAGAAGTACCTGGTAGACAGATGTAGGTGTATCTGAGAAGTTGGCGGTTCTGCGGTCAGACAGTATATAGAGTTTCAGGTCTCGTACAAGAGCGATGTCTGAACTGGAGAACAGGCCATGCTCTACCTGCACAGGACGACCCTTGAATCGCGTCCGTGCCACATTCCAGATTCTCACAGTCCCGGGACGGGTGCTTTGACACACTACATACCTGATTCAGAGGGAATTTTTAAAACTTTCCACCAAAAATAGCTTTCTTTTTGTACATATAACAGTGACAGACATATTTGATTAAATTCATGGCTTTTGGGTATAAAAAACTTTAGATTCATGTATTTGAATTAATTTGGATAACACAGTTTTAACATAAACTAAGAAACTTAATGTGATGAATATTTGTCATCAATATTTGTACATAAATGAAACCGGTAACTCAAAAAATCATGGCAAAGTTTATTATTAACTTTGCATCTATTTGATTTTACGTAAATAATCATTTTCAAAATGCATTTATTGAAATAGTTTAGAATAAGCATAAATCTGTTAATTGTGTGAAAATAATTTAATTCATTCAGTTAAAAATATGAACATGGTTCCAAAAATTGCTAGCTGTGGAACAAGAAATATTCATTTAGTTAAAATGTATAAGATTAGAACAAATTTACTGATTAATAAACCTATATATATTCAGTTCATTTACCACTACCATGGTAAAACTTTACTAGGTGGTGTCTGTGGAACAATTGCAGTAACTGAGGCTATTATAGTTACATTATGCACAGAAAATGGCTATAAACATGCTGGTCCTCAAAAATATCTCATGCAGACTCGTTGTGTTTACAGTTATAAACTGCACATAGAGTGGCCATATGTATGCCAGTTGTTCAGAGGACTTTGTACCTTGGATATCTCTGCATGGTTACAATCTCAGCTGTGCCATCGCTGTGTACTTTGTGCACGTTATATGTGAGTGTTTGGTCATTTATTCTGGATCCCAGGTTCCACACGCGTAAGAATCGCTCCCTGGGACAGAAACCCACGCAGTACCACAGATCCGAACACACACCTGCAATATGGTGAAGAAGAACCATGTTGACACATACACACAAATACAGCTGTTGAGGAAATAAAATAGAAAAAAATATATAAACCAAAAATATATATAGACCATTTAGATTTTTTGCATTATGACATTATTTACATGATAATGAATTTTCCTCATGGGTGTTTATTTTCACGTTTGTTTGTCTCATCTTTCTCAGTGATCAATGAAAAGCTTTTACTGCATGCCTAGATCAGGGTTATTATAGTTAACTAAAACTATAAAAAAAATAAAAATACATAAAAAAATAAAAATAGCTGTCAAACAACATTTCTTTTAATTTAATTTTAAGTACTAAACTAAAACTAATAAATAACAATTACTGAAAACAATATAGATTAATAAAAAACACTAGGAAAAAAAATTCTAAATTTATAATGACACTATTGTAGTATATCAACGATATTAAAATAACACTGGTCTGGACACAATTATTTTAGTAATAATTTTTGAATGTATCATTTATTTATCTGTATAAATTACAGGTACTATAACAACTGCTGCCATTATATATAAATGGGACTGGACTCAAACAATGTGTGTTTGTTTTGACAAAAGAGTCATAATGGTGTTCAGTGCTGGAGACAATAATACTTAACAGGTTTATTGACATACCATGAGCCAGCAGGCCAGGAAACCGTGCGATGTGTTTATGATCTTCAGTCTCAAGGTTCCAGATAATAATCTCAGTGGTGGCGCTGTGAGGGGTGGGACAAAAGGCCACAATGTGGGACCCGCCCCCTGCAATGGTGACCTGGGAAATGTAGTCCTGACTGCAACCCAAGATAGAGCGCAGGTACTGGAAAGATGCTGTGCTGAAGAGTTCAATGTGAATGATTTCACTCTGTCTTTTATATGGGTATCTGTAAAAACCAAAGAGACAGATATAATGTATAATAAAAATTTAGGGTTGCATCACAGTAATTTTCAGGTTTGGGTGAATTACTCTTTACATTACCTGCAGAAGAGCAGTAAATACTGAGAGCTGATCTCTACAGCCTGTATAGATGCTGCAGGGTGCTGAGCTTTCAATGTGACTGACACAACTCCACCTTTAGCATTGAATATTGCTGCTTCTCCTCCATCCCTGCAAATGAGAAGCAAGAAAGAAACAATAAATTGCATCAAAGTAAGGCTTCACATGTAAGGGTTGTTCAAATATTTTTTAACCAGTCGTAAAGTAGTTTTTTAAATAGCCATTTTCCAAACTCTTTTATTATTTGAAAGAAGTTAATGCTCAACAAAGATGCATTAAATTGATCAAATTGATCATGACAGCAAAGACATTTATAATGTTAAAAGATTGTTTATTTAATACAAATGGTGTTCTTTTAAAATTTTGATTCATCAAAGGATCCTAAAAAATGATCAGTTTCCACAAAATAAAGACTGGCGTAATGATGCTGAAAATTCAGCTTTGCCACCACAAGAATAAATTACATTTTACAATATGTCAAAACAGAAAACCATAATTTTAAATTGTAATAATATTTACTATTTTTACTGTAATTTTTTATCAAATAACTGCAATATTGGTGCGCGAAAGAGATTTCTTAAAAAATATTTTTAAAATCTTACCAACCTCAAACTTTTGAACAGTAGTGTACTGTATATATTTTCATGATTTCTATGCATGTGACATGAGTAACAGTGCTGCGCTTCGATTACTCACAGGTTGCATGTTTGCTGTCAAGCCAAAAATGTTTTTTAACTGTCCCATCCTTTAATAGCATCCTCTTAATCAAAGCCTCTGTTACATTATTGCATATTCACTAAATAATTTGTGCTGAAATGTGCCACAGAAACAAGTTCAGATTGAAATGATCAGGGACATTATTAGAAATACATTTCAGCTGCTCTTTCCTAACACTTGGATCCTTAGGAGGCCATGCAAAGCAGCAGGTGCTACATGCAAATGTAAACAGCACAAACACACACTTTCCCATATCTTTCTCTTATCATACTTCTTCTGATGTTTAATAATAGCATCTATAATAATAGCAGTTCAGTTTTTGAACTCTCAACAGAAGTCGTTGATGTGTAAATGTAGGCATTTTGTTTACATGTATTCATCTATCTGTGGTCAGAAAGCTGCTGAAGTATAAAAAAACATTTGCATCTTAGTTTCAGTAATAGGTGAACTAGGGAGGAAGTTTGGGGTTCTTGACAGTATGTTTTCCACAGTACAATGAACTCTTTTATCACAAAGTATTTGACTCCTCACACGACTCCTGCCATTTTGGGTTTTTTAACAGAGACTAGAGAGGACACAGGAAATCATTAGGGAGAGAGATAAAAAAGGGAACTGGCACTCAACAAGGGCCATATTCTGACTGTTATTCCTCATATGAATGCTTCATGTTTCCATAGCTCTGATAACTGTTATTTTAATAACAAATTCAGACTGTTTCATATCGCTAGTCAACCCAGTTGCGTGTATGTGCATGCATGTGATGCTTCCAGCTTAATCACATTAAGAGCAAAGGTTCATTACTCCTTTCAATCATCTATCCTAATTAATCCATGCTTTTTAATCATGCAATGAAATACGAGAAAGATAAACAGCTTCTGGGAAACCTTTACACATTTTTTTCCCTTTTTTATAACTACAGCGTTACACGAAACCATCGACACAAGTAACCAGTAGTGCAAACACACACACATACACATTAGCGTTGGGTGAGAAGCAGACTCTTAAATAATACATCGTGTGACCAGACATTATAAATCAGTCCGAGAACAGCGGCATTGTTTTCACACATGGCTGGAAACTGGATATGTACTCTATTATTATGGGAGAGCGCAATTGTTATTTAAGAACAAAATACTGTGGTGATTAATTAATCTAAATGTGCATGCGTTTATGTGTGTTGTAATGTATTAATAACCTGTAGGCGAAGAGAACATAGTCTTTAACAGAGTGACGAGACACTAAGATGGACTGATCTTTGTGGATGGGCTCAAACTCAAGGGTGAGGTTTACACAATGCAACAGTGAACAGGACACCACAAGATCAAACACCTAGGAGCAAAATAAAAGAGAAACAGAGGAAGTTAGAACCGAACTGATAACTGGTCATATTCTTTTATAATGTCAATGGCTGCTAATTGGTTAAATGCAAGTTACCATACACAGTAAAAACTGTAAATGGTTGAACATCACATTATATGTAATTTTACAGTAAAATACTGTCGAACTGATGTTTATTGCAAGTTAAAAACTGTAAATTACTATTTAAATTATTGTGAAAAACAGTAAAAGGATGTGACATCATATAAGAGTACAATGTACATAAATAGTTTCTTCTATTTTTTGTTATTAGTACTGTAGCTTAGAGTATTTTTGTTACATTTTATGTTATGTAGTCAATGATTATTGCATAGTTTACATATATTAGTTATATATTTAGTAGTGCTGTCAAACGATTAATCGCGATTAATCGCATCCAAAATAAAAGTTTTTGTTTACATAATATATGTGTGTACTGTGTATATTTATTATGTATATATAAATACACACACACACAGTATATATTTTGAAAATATTTACATGTATATCCATTTATATATTTATATTCTTATA